GAGGGCAAGATGGGGCTCTGAGTCACTGCTTGCTTGCCTGCCAGGGTCATTCTTCCATGAATGGAAGCTCTAGCACAATCACTTATTAAAATCAGTATCTTGAACCAATTACATGTTTTAGATGAACTGTAGTTCAAAGCTTTAAATAAATAAATGAAGATAGACCAAAACTTTCCTGTGGGTCTGACATCCACATATTTGCAGCCCAAGATCATTTTCTCAGAGACAACAGAAAGGCCTTAAGAAGCTGATAATCAAGAAAAACAAAACAAAAGTAATAATTAAATAAAACCCACCCCTTCCACTATCATCCTTCCCACTGCCAATAATCAGCAGTTAGAGACTTCCTCAGCCAGTGATCACATCCGAACCACTGTCTTCTATGAAATTGCCTTGTCCCCATGTGACTTAATTTATGAGTTTTCATTTTGTGGTCATCAGTTACACAACTTGGCAGCGTGCTGGGCTTGCTTTAAACTCGCTGGCTGAGCAGTCCATCTCCTTGCATTGCAAGAAACAAAAATAACCACTTGATCACCTCCTCAGCATTGTTTACAGCTTTACAGACCTCTCATACCCTCCCTTAGTCAGCTCTTTTCCAGCTGAGAAGAGCTGCCAAACCTTTCCTTGTATAGGAGCATACTCTCACCTCCTCACCCTTTATTTTCCATGGTTCTGCTATACAATATGCTTCTGGAGTCACTTGGTGTTGCCATGTTGTCCTGCAATATTTTCCTAGTCTGCTATTGGGATTTTTTCTTCTTGTTTTTAGCTTTTCTCCAGATGTACCTATCCTGACTCTGTATCATGTACAGTATTAAAAAAAAAAAAAAAAACAACAAAACAACTCAAAACCAAACAAAAAAAAAATCACCCTAAAACTAAACCAACCAATCAAAGAAACTGTGGGGTTTTGTTTGTTTGTTTTTACTGTTGTTGTTTTTAAGAAATTAAGAGCTGTACAGCACAAGTCCCAGTATCCATCCTTTTAGGACATCATCACTTCCACTACAAGCAACAACTATTTGCTCCCTTGGCTTACTCCACAGCTACTTCAAAGGAAGGGGAAAACTTTGTTTTCTCCAGCAGCAACAGCTCATCTCTAGTGAGGTTTCTCACCAAGGTCTTAGCAATCAGTGGATCACCTTCCTCCATCTCTTTGTTGATTCCTTTAACCACTTCTAGACTACCAAAGCGCTGCTTTCTCACACAAAATTCACACTGACTTTTTGTCCACTCCACAATATCCATCCATTCATTTACAGTAGCTTCTCATTACTCGTCGAACCATTCAGACCCGGGATTTGTAAAGGTGGGAGCCATCCCTACCAGATGCTCAGAGGAGAAAGGCTTAACATCCCATTGTGACCCAGCTGCACCCCGCACCCTCCCCAGCCAACTCTTTCATCGGGCCACAGCCATTTGCATGCTGATGGACTTATTACTCACTTAAATCACCTGCTAATGGGTCCCCTCCCTCACTGGCGGTAGATTAGAAGCTCTGCCCAGAAGTGCCCTCCTTAAGTATCTCAGTTATCCTCACCCCCCTCTTAAGGTGTTAATTAGGGACACAAGTTAGGCACTGGGGGGCAAAGAGGGAAGAGCGGAAAAAAGCTACTTGGGAAAAAAATAGTAATAAACATCACCCTGGATTAGCAGGGATGTAGTGTATGTGTTTGAAGGAGCAAAAGGAATGGAGTAAACACACCTTTAATACTCTACAAGGGTGGTGATGAGCTGGGCTACCTGGATGCTCTGCTTCCCACCACTCTAAGATCAAAGTTTACTTCACCAAGCCCTCAGCTGAAAGACAATAAAGGACAGCTTCAGCAGGTGGGTTAACACCCTGCAAGAAAAACCCACCCACAAATGTAAGGAAAAACAAACAACCAAAAATCCAAAGCCTGAAAAGCTTTCTGTATTGCATTACACCCATAAAGGTTTTCACCTGTTATGTCTGCTCAGGGCTTTCATCTTTCTAAGCCAAAACGTTCAGTTTTCTGCTCTGTGTCAGGAGAGATGAGTATATAAAAAAAAATACAACCTCAGAACTTTAATTGTCCTAATGTTTGTGGATGGATTTATGGACTTTTGTAACCCTATCTTGCACTCTATGAGGATGGAGAGGAGTGAAGTTCCTTGGACAAGCAGTTTTATTTGCATGGGGGTTTAGTTTTAAATGTGATGTGAAGATCAGTGGAAGTAACAGGGGCACAAACATCTATTTAAAAGCTTTATTTTAAAAGGAAGAAAGGATATTTCTTAGGCTACAACTTGGGGCAAAACTAGTTTCTGAAAGAGTTTAGGAAGAAAATAAGAAGAAAATAGTATTTGCCTCCCTGAAAATTCATTTCACCACAAATCACAGTAAAAACTGCCATGTCCCATCGTATCCCCTCCTTCCCTTGTAAGATTAATGCCTTTAGATCAGTATTGTCACTGGGAGCAACAGAGAGAGGGTTCTAGTGATCTTGAAATCTCCTTGAAATCTGTATCCATAGTGCAGACAAATCACCTCAGGAAAACCACAGCATAGTTGGAAGAGGGTTTCCATTTTCTTTTCCAATCATTGACACTTTTATACAGCCCACATAATCTTGGGGCTGGGGTAGGGCTATTGGGTACTGCGATGTTGCTTTGTCACTTTTAGCTGAGTACTGCAGAGATGCAAGGTATCCAACAAGCCAGTGGTTAAGAGTTCAGAAAGGTCTTAAAAAAATATATATAAATCAATCATAAGGCAAATGAATAGCAAATTACCCTGCAACTCAATATTGAAGGGAACAGGACCTTTAAAACCTGTGATATTACACTTGTAGCTGTCAGGAGGAGTATGTGAAGGAGTGGACCCTTTAAATACTGTCTTCTACCACTGCAGAGACTCAAACCCCACCTCGTTACATGCTGCTTTTTTATCTGCCCTTCTATAGAACCTCAAAAGGTAAAACTTTGGAGGGGGTATCACTAGCTCCCTTCCCATGCCTCTGCTAACCTGGGCAATGTACTCAGTTTAAGGGATGAGCAGGGCAAGCACTGCACCCTCATCCTTTGCACAGTGTTGTGCTGCCTATATAGCAGTGAGAATGAGACTGTCCTTACATATGCTCCACCAGGCCTGAAGCCACACTTCCACTGGCTGTGCATGATGCAGGATGTAATTTGGAATCATGAAGAAGGGTTATATTTGCAGCAGGCTGTAAAGCTGTGCTGCCGGCAACCAGTCATTCGGAGAGGCTGCTTTACAATGTTCTGGGGTTTTATTCTTATAAATAACAATATTTCACTTCTTCACGCTTTATTGTTAGCTCTTCCAGCCCTATAGCCAGGAACAGCAAGTGAACAAGATGTGCTAAACCTTCTTGTCCACCAAAACCTGCTTTTTTAATTAGCTCTTCTCTTTGCTTGGAATATGGTTTTTCTTCTGTCTTTTAGGGGAGAATAATTTCATTGTAGAGGAGACAGTGGGGGAAGTGCATCCTGAGATGCCTTTTACGACGGGTGTTACTGGATTGTGTGTCATGTGCTGAGATAATGTGGCTTTCCATATTTTCTCTCTTTGGATAAGTGCATGAGATCCAGATCTGAACACACCTGCCAGTTCAAACTTAAGGGCTTCCAACATCCCACATCCCATTTTTTTCTGTTCAACTTCCCATACACTAGCCTTTTTGGGGGGGTGGGAGGGGGGGAGGTTACATGTGTTAATTCAGGTTTTCTGAAATGTGGAGCATCTGTTGGGTGAGGAGGGACCATGGTGATGCTGCCTATTTATTCCTCAGGGTATCCCAATGCTGCCACCCATCTTCCAGGTGCCTCTGCCCTGTACTGGGGGCACAGGCACCTTTTGTTTTGCTTCTGCCTCCTTGTGACCACATTTAAGTGGTCACAAGTCAGGGCTCAGGTACTACTTAATCACATTTTTGAGCTCTTGCTGGCACTAAATGACTATTTTGACTTCCCAGGGAAGTCTGGGAAACAGAAGGTTCTTTTTAAATCATTTCCCTCTACATGGGGTTGTGTGCTCCCTCCTTTGCATTTTCTATAGCTGTGAGCTTGATTCAGCACTAGCTGGTACTTGCAGGTACCTGTGAGAGCTGCAGTTCAGGTTCATATTCAGTAATCCCATGTACCAGTACAGTCCCCATAGTCCCTAAATAGGCAGCATTAATGCTAGAGGCACCAAACAGCAGCTAGCAGGTGACATTTTAACAAGACATAGCACTGCTGGAGCATCCCTGTAGATGGGACACACTGCCCTCAAGAGCCACAGATTTAGATTTGGACTTCAGGTACAAAATGGTTTTGGATTGTCCATCGTTTTGTATCCTGAACACCTTCCACAGACTGCAGGGTAGCCTGCTAGGTAGGTACAGGACAGACACTGCACTTGCTGCCCACCAGCCCCATACTGCACGGCATGGCCCCCACGCTCACTCCACGCACATTTACAAACACTTGTAATAGGTGAACAGCATTGGAATCTAAAGGGGATGGGAAAACAATGCATATTTGCAGCTTTCTCTCTCTCCAGGCCACCACAAAAAGAAGAAAAATCATAGTAACAGGCTGCAAAGTTAAGTGAAAAATAGTCTTTGTTGCTCATGGAGCAAAGATTATGTGGTGAAGCAGTTAACATCACTGTGCTCCTCAGCACTCATCCCATGGTCAGCTACATCCTGCAGTCCAGCACAACCCCTCCAGTGATCCTTCACTCCCTCTTTACCCCATGGAAAAATTGGCCAGGAGGGCATTTCACTGCCACTTGCCCTTCCTTCCCAGAGCCCTGGCAATGGTCCCCATCCTTGCCCTGCATGCGGCAGTCAGAGAGTACTGGTGGCTACCACGGCACACTGGTAATTCCTAGAAAGCAGTTGAATAAGTCCTGATAACCGAACAGCCTTTCCTATGTGGTGTCAGTGGTGAACCACCCCTCTCCCCTCCCCCTTTGGGCATTTTCACCACAGGGCACATCTCCCCTCACACGCAGGCAGCCTGGGCTCATTTTAAAGAACGGTTTATTCGCTCAGAAACAGACGGTCACATCTCTTTAACCGAGATATAAAATCCCAGTGTGTACAAAGTCACAGTCACGACTTGCAGGGCACATGGCAGCACCCTCGGAATAAAAAGTCATTAAAAATCCCAGCGCTATGTACAGCTAAGTGCCAGCTCAAGTATTCACAACACAGTAACGTACTGCAATTAGTTGCTTAAAAGTAGTTCCCTTGAGAAACAACCTTCTGCTCCGGCAGAGCCGGAGTCTGTTCCGTCCTGTCCATCCAGTGATGCTTAGTGTTGCTGGCAGGTGTGCAGTCGGGAGGCATCAGCAGGGCCATGCTCTCGCTGGAGGCGGCACACCAGCCCCTCGGCGCACTGGCACCGCTGGAAGATCTCCAGGCCATGGGTGCCTTTCCGACGGTGCCGGGTACACACCTGCCCTTCCCGCAGCACCGGCTTGCAGATCTTGGACCAGAAGTGACGGGCACAGCACAGCCCGGCTGCACAGTCTGAAGAGCGTAGGCAGAAGTCCCCCTCCTCACCTGTGTGGGGACAGCATGGCATGTGCTCAGCCCAGGATGCTCCCACTGGGATGAAGGGGCAGGGTGGGCATCCCCCATAGGGGACAGTGAGGCAGGGTGCACAGGGATCAGTGGGGCAGGATGGGCAGCCCTGAAGGGACAGTAGGGTCACAACACGGCTTGACACCCTTACCTTTGGCAGTGGGGAGCCAGGCGGGAGCAGGTGTCCGTCGGGTCAGAACCTCAGTGCCGATCTCGTCCAGCTCGGTGGCTCCCTGGGGTGGCTCCGGGAGCGTGCAGAGTCCTGCGGGAGGCAGCGGGATGGCTGTCAGCCACGGATGGACCACAGCAACCCCTCCCGCGGACACCTCCAGGGCGTCGTCCCCCCTCCCCAAGCCCTGCCGCCCCTCACCGTTGCTGCAGGTCGTGCCGGGGCAGCACATTGCGTCGCGTAGACAGCGTTTGCGGCGTCTCCGGCAGGCGAGGCAGAGCGGGGCTCCTCCGCCGCGGGCCGCGCCTCCACAAAACTCCTCAGGGCCACAGTCCTCGTCCTCGGCGCAGGGGAAAGGCTGGAGAGGGGGCAGAGAGGAGGCGCAGGGGGTCAGCGCGGCCGCCACCCCCCATCCCCTGTGTGTCCCTCCATCCCCCGTGCGTCCCTCCATCCCTCCGTGTGTGTCCCCCCTCTCCATCCCCAGTGAAGGCCCTTTCCTACCTGCCGGGTGGCGGCCGGCGGTGGCTTGTTGCTGCCGTCGAATGGGGCAGCGGGGGGGGCGCTGGCCTCGGCCCCTACCCCCGGTGGGGGTCCCTTGATGGAGTTGGAGCTTAGCGCGCCGCCGGGTGCCGCCGCCCGCCCAGCTGGGGCCGCGCAGCTGAGCGCCGCCAGCAGCGCTACCAGCCCTCGCATCCTCGTCCCGTCCCCTCCCAGCCCCTTGTCCCCGGTGATGTCCTATCTGCGAAGAAGCTCCCGCGGCCCACAAGCAACAGCTACCTGCGCTGCCCGCCGCCGCCTTTATACCCCTGGGGGCTGCCTCCTGCGCCCGCCCCCTCGGGGAGGAGGGCACAGCGGATGGGATTTCAAAGGGTCCCCGGGGGGTTGTGAGACCCCAAAACCGCCCCCACCCCGCCCCGAGGGCTCCATCATTGGCCGCCGGCCCGGGAAAGGGGTTTCGCAATAGCGAAGGCAGACACTACCACCACCACCACCACCACCACCGCCCCCCCCGCCCCGGTCCCCGGCCAGATGCTCCGCATGCCCCGCCGCTGTCTCCAGCCGGGCGCGCCGCCTCGCCCGACGGGAAGGGACGGGAAAAGAAGGGGAGGGAGGGGGGAGCACCCCATACACTCACCCCAGTGGCTGGGAGCCACGGTGGGATGCAGAAAGGCCGCCCCCCCCCCCCCCGGTGACAGAGGCAGTCCTTTGGTCTCCTATAAGTCTGCGCCCCCCTCCCCCGCGCCCTTCCTGGCGCCAGCGCGACTTTACAGGAAGGGAGGGGGCCGCTCGGCACCCCCTCAACCCCCGGCCCGGTTGAGGGGGGTTGTGGGGAGACGGGACATGGGAGGGGCTGAGCCCCCAGTTGGTGTTACCCCCACACACACGCACACGCACAGACACACTCCCGCACACTCGCCTGACCCTAACCCGAGCAGCTCCTCGGTTGGGATGGGGGGGCCAACACCGTCGGGGAAGCTCCCGGTACTTTGATGCGGGGAGGTCTCCCCTTTCACCCCACCCCCCGGCCCCTGCATCGGCGCCCTCCGGGCGCCGCGGCCTCTCCGCTCCCCCTCCGAGCCTCCCGCTCCGGGGCAGCGCGGCGCTGCTGTCACCCCCGCGCCCCCTTGCGGCCACGCTGAGGTAGCGCGGCCCCGTCCCGCGGAAGGGTGTGCAAGCGCCGTTAGCAGCACCAGTTAATTAAACCGGCTTTTCATGGTGACGGCCTCATGCTCGTATTTATTTATTTTAGCTGGGTCTGACAGAAAATACAGTAAAAAAAAAATAAAGCCCAAACACCGCACCGCTGCCGAGCCCACCATAAATACTTATTCCCCCGGGGGTGGGTGATTCCAGGTGTCACACTGCTGCAATCAAAACCCCAGCAGTGCTCACCCGCCTCCAGCGCAGCGGGTATCGCTGTGACTCCGCAGGAGCTCCTATCAGGTACTTCAGGTCCAAGAGGATCAAGCTGGGCTAATAATTACCTGAGAAGGTTTCGGCGGGCACCTAACAGAGGTGCCGGCGGAAGCGGTGCTGCTGAGTCAGCGCTCGGCAGACGTCCCTGCCGCAGCCAGGTGAAACGGGGCCTTGCTGCTTTTAGCCTGAAAGAATGAAGGCCACACCTTGCCCCTAAGCCCCTGTATTCCCCTTGCAGTTTCAGTGAGGGCCACCAAGGGATTTTATTTCATTATTGACTTGTATCTGCGATTGCTGCATCCTGCAAATGCATTTTGCAGCGTTTCCCGGCTCCTGCTTATGCAGTTAGTGAATTTATATTCCGCCTGGGAGGATGTTTTCATGGTCCTGTCTCCAGTTTTTACCTGTCTCTGTGTCCACATTGCACTGAAGTACACCCTTAACTTTGACCTTGCTGAGATTTAAATGAAACTGTGTCACACAGGGGCTGAGCTTTTTCTCAGGGATGGATTTAAATCTATTGGGAGTAGCAGTCTCAGCAACCTGACCACCACATCATCCTGCACACTGAAGTGATGGCTTCATGACATCCCATATCTGTGCTGGCGTTAGAGGCTGCGCGTCTGTCATCGCATCTTGGCATTTTCCATGAGGGGCAGCAATGACAAGGACACCATCATTTTTTGACACAGGTGCTGTTTGCAGTCACATCCCACCTTTAGATGACGCAACATGGGTTGGAAATATGGTCCCTTGCCAGTTGCATGCCCTGGACTAGCTTATATTGGCAGCAACCAAAACATAAAGTGAATTCTTCATCCCTGAAAAATAAACATGCTGCAAATGTGCTTATTGGTTAGTGTGTTCATAGAATAATTTGGTTGGATTTGAGCTGTGGGGCTCACCCAGTGCCAGCCCTGCTTGAAGCAGGACCTCCCATCAGCTTCAGATCTCTTTGTCCAGGCTACTCAGAGTGTGCTGGTGCTCAGGTAAGTCCTGTAGTAACTGTGACCATTTGCCTTTGCAACCTGCATGGAATCTGGATCCCAGTACTAATCTCCAACTACCATGTATTTTGTTCAGTTGTGTCTTACTGCATATGAACATAAGACAGAATAAACCCCCCAATTTAATCACTAACCAGAACTCCTCTCCCAGTCTTGGTTTCTGCTGTGGAAGAGAGCCACTGACAAGTCGTTCAAAAGTAATTATTTTTATTTCAACTCTATAAAGTATACAACAGGCACTCGGCAATTACAGCTGCAGGGAAAATACAGAGCAAAACAAAAGCAGTTAAAGTTTATGAAAAAAAGGTTTTAAATCTACATCGAAAGAATGCAACCAGCCAGTGACCGGTGGATGACTGACATTTGTCTGACAAACAAAACCTCTTTCATGTAGGAAGAAAACTGGAAAAAATAAGAATCTGAACCAAAAGGCTAGTGTAAAAACAGCGTAAACTGGGACTTGGGATGATGGGCAGCTCAAAACAAAACTTTCTCCTTTTGCCAGTAAGGCTCTAAAACTACCCAAGTCTCAGTGTTACGGCTGGTTCACACAGCCACAGAGCTGTGGAGGACAAGGAGCTTCCAGCTTCCCAGCTAGGCTTTGTGAGAGCACTGAGGGCTCACCTCCACCGTAGTTTGCATATAGGAGACAGGGGAAAAGCACAGATCCTGTTTTGTTGAGTGGTGCAAACCAGCTACTCCTTTGAGTCAGGCTTTCAGGTCAAAACACGCAGGTTGGGTTGCACACTGAGTTGCTCATAGTTTTTTGTGTGTGGGAGATTTCTAAAGGGGTTTTTATAAGACAGGAGGTTGGCGTTGGACAGCATGATGGGTTGAATCTGCACACCTTAGCAAAACAGGAATACCTGTCTACGGACTGATAGGATGTCATATATTAATTTGACCTGCACATAACATTTATACATTTCACAGAAATGACTCTGTATCTCATTAACAGATACACAGCTCTGGTACATTGAACAGAAATAAGAGAACGACTTCATCATTTCTGTAATTCATCAATATTATATAATAAAGGCTTAGAAATTGGTAGCAGAAAGAACTGTAAAACGCAGCAAGCTAAGAAAGGACGACATTTTGAGGTGTGTTTGTCTTTGTCATGCAGCATAACACCAAATTTGTAATCTTTTTTTATAGGATGCCACAGATTTAAGGCACTTGCAACAATGCCAGATAGCTAGTCATGTTCTAAAACTATGGGACAGATGAGTTAACAATACAGTTGACATAAAGTTTAATAATACTGACAATTATGACATTAATTCAAGTCTACCTTGATCTAAAAACATTACATTACAAATAAGAAAATGAAGTAATAATGCCATGGAACTCTAAAAGAAAAAGTTATATGTGTACCACAAAATATCAACACGAAAATACCTATTTACATAAATATTTGCTTGTGGTCCTGTTGTTAAATAAGAGTTTGCTATGATAATGCAGCACTGTGAGAAGCTACAGATCGTCTGTGTCTTAATGACACCAACCTTAATACACTCATTTTAAATATGGGAGCTGCTTTCCCCTTACACAGATATGCCACTGTCCCATATATTAAAAAAAGGAGACAAAGAAGGAAGGACAGTAAAGTAGAAACACAGAAGCAATCCATCGTTGTGAATATATATATATATATATATAAAATGCAACTCAAATATATTACTTATAAACGAAGGTGGTTATCATATACATATGCTAAGTATGTTGTTTAAGGTATGCTTAGGAAAGGTAATGAAAGTCAAGTGAGGTGTTTGATATCAAAATAAACTTATATTCCACATAGTCCATGCTGCACGCCGCAGGTATTAATTACCGTGCTTGGCACAAGGAAAAAAGGACAAGAAAAAGAAAAGTAACTCAGCCCATTTTAAAACCTTTTTCCTGTAATGTTTTCAGGTTGCCCCCAGACTCATTGTGATGCTTTTCCTCCCGGCAACCCCTTAACTGACAACTGCATCTCAGCTACCGAATATCATCATTCTGGGACAAACTCTTCTCTACGGTCTTCTATAGAAAGTTACCAGATACAATGTGTTTTCTCCTCCAATGTCACTGCATCATCGAGTGAAAAAAACAGGGGGATGAAAGTAAAGAATTCAGCTTTTAGGTAGCAGCCTGTTTGCTAAGATGTCTAGTGATTATTTTAGCCCTAGTACTCAGCATTGGCTTCCAGTGTTTTCCATCCCTCAGATAAAGGTTGAGAAGCCAGTAGCTGCTGTCTTGTCTCTATGGTTTTGAAAGCAAACAAAGTTTTAATGATTAATGAATAGCTGAAATAACCTGAAATTACTGTGTCAATGGTGTTGCCTCACCCTTTGGAAACTTAGGAAGGAAATTCAGAGGCAGAGACTGGTTTCAAAGGCATCACAATGACTGAGCTCTTTAGTTTGCTATCAAACATCAGACGTTGTCAATGCTGTCAAGGAAGGGGAGAAAAATACCTTTCTAATACATTCTATTTAAAGTTCCTTTCATTAGAAACATGGGAAAGAGTTGGGATTTATCACAGGGGAAATATTTTTACTGTTAAAACATACATTTTCTGTGTACTATGCAGGCAAAAGTCATGTGTGTGACTTTTTAGCAAGAGCTGATCTTTCAACTTCCAGTGTATACAACTACTCTTGGCTGCCAAGCTCTTGGCAGCTCTGAGATGAAATGGGGCACCACCTGCTAATGTTTTGAGGCAGGGTCTGTTACAAAAACTGAAAGCTGACATTTTTTATTGGTATGATGGGATAAACTTTTAGTCCCATGTATATGCGATAAAGAGGCACACAGGACAGATTCCTGTTACATCCTATAAATCAGAAGAGACAGTATTCAAGCAGAGGAAAAACAGTGAAAGTGAGGAAAAAGTGTACATACGATAATACTATAAGAGCTGACTTGGCTCTAGCTATCCCTGTGCTTTAAACACAGTCACTGGGGTCCTGGTACAGCAGAGACATGGAGACCTTGCACAAACACACCCAATATCGATTTTCCATTTATTTCCACTGACTTTCCTGTGGTGTTCCTTAGTCTGGTGAGGCACTAGGATTAC